ATTTGCTCATGTACAGCCCATCCCAAAAAAAGGATCTAAGACCGACCCTTACAACTACAGGCCTATAGCTCTGCTTTCTGTTATAAGTAAAGTGATGGAGAGGTGCTTACGTCACGCAACTGTGGAGTAAACTCATCCAGTCTCATGGTGAGGCTCATGTCGTTGCTCTTGACATCACGAAAGCGTTCGATCAGCTGTGGCACGCTGCCCTCTTAAGCAAACTTCCATCCTACGGCCTCCCAGAAAAGCTTTGCAGATGGGTGGCTGACTTTATCTCTGGCCGCAAGATATCCGTCGTAATTGACGGATTCTCCTCTTCATCCCACAACGTCAACGCGGGTGTTCCCCAGGGATCGGTCTTGGCTCCAACACTGTTTCTTTTACATATCAACGACCTCCTTTCCTGCACGATCAACCCAATCCACAGCTTCGCTGATGATAGCACTCTACATGCGGGAATTCAGAGTGACAAGCCGATCTCTGCCGCTGAGCTGGAAAAAAGAAGACTAGCGACGACTTCTTCTCTGACAAGAGACCTGGAGGCTATCACTGCTTGGGGACGCAACAATCTTGTACAGTTCAATGCTTCCAAAACACAGTACTGTACTTTGACGAACAAAAAGCGTCCTAGCGCTCATACAGTTTCGATGGACGGTCGAGTTCTACCAAAGAGCCATTCATTTCGGCTGGTCGGAGTCCAGATCACCAAGGACCTGATCTGGCACGAACACATCTCTTCAATAGCTGCAGCTGCTGGGAAAAAGCTAGGCTATTTGTTTAGGGCTAAGAAGTACTTTTCTCCGCATGACCTTCTCACTCTATACAAGGCCCAGATAAGGCCTAGCCTCGAGTATTGCTCACACATTTGGGGTGCTGCCGCCCCGACTACATTGTCCATGCTCGATGCTGTCCAGAGGAGGGCGGTCCGACTGATCGATGACTCTTCTCTAACAGACAGCCTCGGGACTCTTTCGCACCGGCGGGCTGTCGGCGATCTAGCTCTTTTCTATCGCTACACCAACGGGCTTTGCTCCTCAGAGCTCTCTTCTATGATGCCGCCGCGCGATGTGCCTGCCAGACAGACCCGCCTGACTTCGGCGTCCCATCCTAACCGTGTCAAGCTTCGTACATCCAGAACTGGCCGATACGACCGCTCCTTTGTCCCGAGGGTGTCTAGATTGTGGAACAATCTACGGGAGGAAGCTTTTCCCAGTTCTACTAACCTTAGGCAGTTCAAAAATCGTATTAACAAAATTTCTTTGGGATCATCATAGCAGCCGCGGTGTTCCGGCATTTAGGCTTCTGCCTGCGCAGCTGTTTCGATATAAAAAAAAAAAAAATGTTTGATAAATACAGATAACCTTCAAAATTATTTATAAAACATTGTTATTTGCCTCAAAATATATTAGAGACTTAGACAATATATAAAATTAAACAATATCTAAAATACATACAAGAATACAAAAAAAATAATATGTGGGTCTGAGAGACCCAGCGTCACCTCTAACGTTACCCGAATGGCACGTCACCAGTTAAGGGTTAATGGTCAATTCCACCAATTTAGAGAACCGAGAACAAAATTCAACCGATATATAACGGTAGGTCGATCCCTCTCCTTCACGAAAAAAAAAAACTTTGGGAGTTGTTTCTGTTTCGGAATAAATTCGAAATGTGATCTCAATAAAGCGAATTCAGAAAGAAATCACTTTTGACTAAAATATCTGATGAATGGATTGACAACTCGTAATTTCGAGACCATTTTTAAATCACTCGGACAACTACACTTCGGAGTAGTTAACTACTGTGGGGCATGATCTTTTAAAATGACAGGAGAAACGATAAAGTAGAAAAGCCTGAAATTCACATTTTCTCCTATCATTGACATTAGAAATTATAATTTCATAAAGTGTCGTCCTTCCATAGGTTCTATTCTGAGAAAAAAATGAGGCTGGAGTAAGACATCACCTGCCCTCCATTATCACGAGGAAGACCAATTTTTGTCCAAAAGATGGAACATTAGATCCAAGGTCCGTTCGACCAATTTATAGGCTCGAGTACAAAATTCAGTTCATACGGAAGCATAGGTTGGTCCTTATGCATCTGTAAAACGATTAATTTTATCTGTATTTTGATTCGGAAATCATTCAAATTGTCAGCCTAATAAAGCATTGCAAAATTTTGAAAAAAATTAAGATGATTTTTGAGTTTTCTGGACAATTTTACTTTGTAGTAGCCATATATTATGGAGCCTGCTGCTTTCCAGTGGCAGGAGTGGCCAGAAAATGGAAATGTAAACATTTTGAGCATGCCTCCAGACAGAACGGTCCGACCTAGGGTCCTGAAATTATATTGTTATAATATCCACGAGCTGGCCTTATTAAGGACCTCAAGTAACATATTATGTATAAGTGTATATTGGTAAAAGGACAATGGATTCTGTTTTAATTGTTGATCCTCTTACTTGGTCGCTATAACTGGCTGTATAAGTTTTATAACAAAATATTTAGTAAATTCTATTAAACGACCGCGGTATATTTTTCATTCTGTAGTAAAGCTGATTTGATTTTACAAACTTTGCTTGTGGGAGACCCCTGTTTAGTAAGCTACCTTGTGTGACAAGAGCGTGTCCAGCTCAAAACCTTCAAAACATTTGTTAGTGGAAGTTTCGCAAATCATATCTACATAACTATTCTTGATATTTTTCTTTCTTCTTGAATTTCACTTATATAGAGTCTAGAAGCCTACATTCCAGGGCACCACGGCTGATATGAGTATCCCAAAGAAACTCTGTTAATCTGACCTTGTAGATTGTTTCACAATCTCAACGTCCTAGCGACAAACAAGCGGTCATATCGGGCAGTTCTGGATGTACGAAGTTCGATACGGCTAGGATAGGAGGACGAAGTCAGGCGGGTCTGTCTGGCCGGCATATTGCGTGGAGCATCATGGAGGAGGGGTCTGAGAGAGCTAGATTGCCGACCGCAGCCGGTGCGGAAGGGTCCCGAGACTGTCTGTTAGAGAAGAGTCGTCGATCAGTTGGACAGCCTTCCTCTGAAGAGCATCGAGCATGGATAATGCAGTCGGGGCGGCAGCACCCCAAACATGTGAGCAGCACTCGAGGCCAGATCTTATCTTGACCTTGTACACAGCGGGGAGGTCATTCATATATTATCTAGAGTGAATGCAAGTACCTCTCATTTCCAAATCACAAATTTTGCGTACCTTTTCTATCAAACGTCAAAGTTCTTTTTTGCCGAAAAGTGCATAAGAGTAAATATGAAATAGCAGCCAAAAGTTGAAACTTTGTAGTGATTAACTTACATTGAAAAAATCTTCAAAAATGCTCAATTTATCCAGCAACGTAACTGCTGCTACAGCCTTGAGACACGGAATGAATTTTAAGTGACTAATTGGTCTGTATCTCCATTACTATAAAACGTAATCAATAATGTTATTTACAAAAATTGTGGAGTATACGCTTCCTTTAGGAAATAATTTGTCTTTGTCGATATGTATCCGTCCTTTTTCTACAATTGCTTGAAATTTCGTTATATAGTAAAAAAATAATTTTACATGTAGAATTATATTTTACCTAGTTTATTCTAGAATGATTTGAAAATTTGTCATATTTTCACCATTGAGATCTCCAAAACGGTAAGAGGTGCGGTTCGGTTGAATGAAGGCAAAGTTGCGCGTTTATATATTTTAGAAAATGCATTAGAAAAGTTGCTTCCAGTATCTACAGAGATACATGGAGAATAGATCCAATTTTACAAAAATAGATTCTAATTCTAATTGTTTCTGAATTTATTGGAAATGGGATTCCAAAATAAACTGCACATTGATACTGCCACCTTAATCTATGCAAGGTGGCGTAAATTGAACATTATCTAATATGATCTTTCGTCTCTTTGATATTTTTTATTTATACATTATTATAAAAAAATTATTGAGTAGGCGTTAAGATTATCATATAGTTATTTATCTCATTAAAGATCAAAGATGATAACATGTTACGCATTGATATAAAACTTCAGGTGCCTAGCTTCGCATAGTTGACTTTAACTCATTTGATGAAAGAAATTATTTAAGGGTAATCATGAAGACATCGAAAACAGTTTACTTTTAAATAACTGAGAGCTGAAACTCAGATCGTAATTATGCCACCGTGTAGAAGAGAAAAAGTGGTAATGGTATTATGTACTTTGCTTGAGATTTGTAGACAATGTGGATGTTTGAAACGTTTTGATTAGGACTAAAGAGAGGAAAAAATAAAAACGACTTAAGAGTAAACTCGGAAATATGTTGGATTTTTTCATTATCCAAGCAATTTGTCTTCATAAAGTAGCCCGCTTCGTATATTTATCATGAGATGTGTTATTTATTAACCGTGTAGCCTGGACGCCAGTAATTATTAATGCATAATTTTTCGCAGAAATACTTGTCGTGTGACATCATTTACTTTACTGTTGCCGAGATCCCAAAGGCGAGGTCCGAACTCGGAACACATGTAACATATACAGGGTGATTGACACAAATGAAACATCATACACAGGACCGCATTTTAAGGAGGGTCTTCTATGTAACATTATTTCCTGGAGGACTTTATTATAAATATTGTAGTTTAAAAATAAAAAACAATTTTTCTTAATTTGACCTTCAATTTGGTACAAATAATTACTCTTGTGTGTTTTTCCTAGAGTGCATTGTTTTCGTAAAAATAAAAAAAAAACAAATTAGATTAAATTACCCTGCACAGTGTTTTTAGCAAAATTAAGTTTATGAATCAGATAGCTTTTAAATAGTACCAGTAATTTCTCGTCTAGTAGATATTGATTCAGCTTGTGATGAACCCCTCACATGAATAATTTAATTATTATAAAAAATGTTATCTCCATTTAATTTTTGCCGAGCTAGGGAAAAGGGGGGGCAGCTGCTCCCTTTGCCCCTCCTGGGTGCGCCCTTGTTGTGTGATACTTATTCAGAAAAACAAACTACAATTTGTGAAACTTTAATCATATATTAACAAAAAGCTCTCTTCAAGGTGACAACGCCTGATACATTCATAGCTTTAGATATTCTTAATACAAGAACTCTTCCTTCACGATCTCATAGCAGTACATCCTACCGTTACGACAGACAGGTCCACACTTTTGTGATTTGCATCTGCTGCAGGGAAAGAAACATCCTGGACAGGTTTCTTCGGAACAATCGCATACATCCCTTCCCGTCTTGATGAAAATTCCATCTTTGGTGTAGACTGGTTGACGTTGGGTCCTGCGACGTTTCTGAACCCTTCCAACTTGTTTGGAGCAGCAAGGTAGCGTACACTGAATATTATTGGAGTTCATGTTAATGGTTATTATGTTTCACCTTATGTGACATACAGAGGTAACCTCTTGCTTAAGACATCTATTGTCAAATAACGAAGAAACAAAGATACGCCTAATAACAGCTACCCGCGATCTGCTGATGGGTTGTGTTAATAAGCTGCATAGTGCAGGTAAATTAGTAACGAATGTTTGGCGCTTTATTTGAGCAATACAGGGCGTCGCGAAGCAAACGATATAGCCCAAATTCTTCATAAATTTTATATTTATACAATTTATGAGACAAAAAATTTCTAAAGGGCAAATAGGTGTGATAGATGATATCATGCAAGCGGTGGAGATTTTATAATAATAATATTCATGGTCACAAAATACAGCTAAATATCAAATATTGTGCTCAATAAACATAAAGCACCCAAAAAAGTTTGCACTTGTGTTTGGGTTTGTTAAAAATAAAAACTAAAAGTACAGTCAGTGTATGAAAAAAAAAAACGTAAATACTATACAATTTGGTGAATTATTATGGTGATGAGTGTAAGTAAAATATTATTGATTTTAATAATGATTTTTCATATCTACAATTTCATGGATGGAGCATCTTGGTTGTTGTAAAATCCATTTTTTTTCTTGTTAATTTAACAATAGCATCTTGAGTAGATTTGCCTTCTTGAAAACCATATTGCTGTTCCGCTATTAAGTTTTTTTGCAAATTCGGTGAATCGTTTTTTTAACACTTTTTCATATATTTTAGAAAAATTGGTTAAGATGCAAATTGGTCGATAGTTGATGGGTTTTCTCTTTCTCCAGATTTCAATAATGGTTTTACAATAGCCTGTTTTAAACATGTAGGGAATATTTTGTTATTCATACAAGAATTTATCAAATATGACAGTATGCCGCAGATGTTGGAATTTATCCATATAGCATATGCTTCATATATTACTATTCTTTTTATTTTATTCGATGACTTTCCGCAAGAGTTCAAGCGTTGTGCCTGTAATTTGACTGCGAATGTTGTAAGACAAGAAAATAATGTTTTTTAGCTGACTCATCAACATATATGTCCATTAAAATATATCCGGAGGAAGAACTCGGGTGTTCTTAAATCTGGTGAGTAGGATGCTAATTTAAATTGGATATGTAAAAGGATAGTTGTATGGCGTCCAAAATCGTAAACGCACCATACGAGTAGCTATGAGGAATTTATGGAATATGAATTAAATTCTTCCTCCATGTGTGATTCGAATGTATTAGTTTATTTTATTTTCCACTTCCAATCCCTTTACAGTCTATTTTACCACATTCACCTTTTGCTATTCGGAGTGTCTAAGATAAGGATCCAATGCATGAATATCTCAATACCGGTAGGGCGTATTTCCATGCCGTTAAGAAACTTATGAATATTTCACGGCTTACTGAGAGACGTGGTAAAAACTAACTTTACTTTAACGAATAACAAAAAACCAGTGAAATTCTTCCATTAGCACTTTTCAGGCACTACATGATGGTGTTTTTAAATGTTGTACCCGACGGTTTGTTTCTGAGAAAGCACCATCAACTTTATTTTTTGTATGGTCCGAAAAAAAAGTACACCCTACATTTATTTGCTTGTTTAGGCCCGTATCGTTAGTCGTCCCTACAATTGTCGGGCGCGTTTATGGCCTACTTGATTGTCATACTTCTTAAAAAATTTCTAGATTACACTTGTCCCGTGTCAGCGTCAGCGCTCTCCTATTGCAAAGATATGTTTTCTTTTTAAATTGTAGGAAATTTCAGGCTGATAAAACATGATATAACTCAAAAGCAAACACAATCTGATGCAAATAGATGTTTGTGACATAACCTCAAAATAGAGCGCTGACACGGAGAAGCAGAAAACTATGACAATCAAGGAGGCCATAAAGGCGCCCTACAATTGTAGGGACGACTGACGATACGGGCCTTAGGAAGGGAAATGCGCTTTTAATTATTGCTTTAATTTTATTAAGTAGGCGTTGCAAGCAAATGCTGGATGGAAGATTATGCCATTACTGATAGATACATATTACATATCACATAATGGTATGATGGGGAAGAATCTTATGAAATGATGCTTAAATTACTGATATTCAGTGTAATGAATACATTATCAGCATTATTAGGCCAAATTTCAGCTTTTCCTCAATACCTCAGTGAGCAATGAAATTTTTTATATGTTTCTCAACGGTATGTAAATTCACCCTAAAGAACGCACCTTTCTCTTAATTTGACCTAAGCTGTATTTCTCACGAGCATAGGATCCTTGTCTTGGACCCCCGGTATATACTATCATAATATTTAATAGATATTTTTAATGCACATAGAATATAGGTTTTTAAATTTTTTTATCAATTGACGTATATTTTATGAATTCTTGATGCAATAAATGCATTATACCCAAAAATGGGATTGCCAAAAGTTTCCTTAAGCGACCCGCCAACTACGTACTACCTTGTAGTGTGTACTGTAGTTTAATCTCGTTAAAATTACTACTCTTTTCTGTCTAGAGTACGTGTCTTCAAACTGGATTATATACAATATATAATATCCCACAAACTACCTACAGTATTCCAACATAAGTATGGCATATCTTGATATGTTTGTCATGGAATTTGATATTAAAATTATGAACGACAACTGGCTGCTGAAGCTAATAAGGGAAGTAATAGTGGGGATGTGACAACCTCCGTCGACATCATTGACCTCAGCTTGTCAGTAGTCATGGACAAATTTACGTCACGGGTATTACGTATCTTGAAAAGTGACATTTTATCGATTTTTTTGACATTATTTTGGTGTTTTGTGACATTATGTAGGTTTTCCTACAAGATGTTAACTTAACGCTAGCTGGCGGACACGTTGTGAACTCGTTTTGTAGTTGTTCATGCTGCCTAAATGTCATGAGGCTTCGGTTTTCAATGTTTGGCTCTGATGTGATGTAAAATCTGCGTCAGACATGGCATTACTGGGGGTAACGGCAATGCATAGGTGCATAGTGAGGATTTGTGTGCTAAATATGTGTTGATGATAATTTCATTAGATTCTTGTCGCAAATACGCTTACTTGAGATTCAAAGCTAGAAATTAGTTGCGCATCTACTTTTTATTATTCATCCTGGAAATTATCTATGCACAAGTCATATACATGCTAACAGTAACTTAGACACTATGCGGGCGCGGTGGTGATTTCCCGTAATAGTTTTTGAAAATGCAGAAAAACGTAAAAAGTCGTAATTTATAACATCGAACATAACCTGTCTTCAGAAAGGACAACATATAAATAAGCCGTCGAGCACAGTTAATAGATATATTATTGGCAGCATATTTAGTAATGATTTTCTCATACAACAAATATCACTGGTTTTATACACATGCAAACCAATACACACATCCAGATGCGATCTTGCTATTCAACCAACTTTCTTTTCAGAAATGAAAGCTATAGACTACTCGACGTCACAAAACATATGCAACCAACAATGCGTGTAGTTGAGCTATTCCTCCATAGATGGATGCTCACAACGATCCTAGTGAGCAAACGTAGAATGGCTGCACTCTAAAAACTACCTACTCTGCAAGAAGACATCTTATAGTTTTTTTTTGTCGTTGCATATGATATTTACCTAATACCCGTGCGGATGACTCTTGACTAGCTTTGTTCCAGGAAAATGTTCAATTCATGTCTCGAGACATCCAGTGCAAGAGGACTGGTACCGACCCTGTTGGAACTAATGTTTTAGTTCTGTGCATTTATAATGCACAAGACTTTAATTTTGGTATACGGGTTTGTTTGTGTTACGAATTTCATTTAGTTTTTGCCAATTATGGAAGATTACGAGATTCCTGGTGGAACATTATATTACAACGGCAGTACAATACAAATGCGCATAAAATGCAATTATATTGGCTTGTATGATTAAAACTTTGTTGTTTACTTAAAGCACAAAAAGTGATGAAAACAAGTAAAACATTTAAAATGGCCCCTTCAACCGTGAATCCGACGTTTGTCTTTCAGCTATGCATGCCTAAGCTTATTTGTACCATGAATATTCTTAATTTTATTCAGAACTTATTTTTCAAGTAACGAAGCAGTTCCGAACAATTACTAAAGATGCTGGAACAACGATAAAATGAAACAGAACATGGAGTGAATTTCTTGCAATGTGCATGCGCGTTTAGTTGTGAATGTGTTTCCTGCCTATGCTGGAGTAAACCCTCTACAAAAATCTTTAAGAGCTTGTGGCACTACTATGGAGCCCTATTACCAGGAGAGCCGACAAAAAGAGCAAAGATCCCAAAACTTAACGCCTGACCGAAGGACTTGATTTTTATGAATGATAAATAATATTAGAACACATTACAGAAGGATCGCCTGGCAGATACCTGCAGATCCAAAAGAACCCATATATTGTCCACCTGTTGACTAAGTAGGCTAGTACACAAATAGTTCATTCCGCGCTTGCAACAATTGAGCATTAAGTGACCGACAGCTAATTCCAATTCGATGTCTTGTTGGAAAACCTAAATAACATAGGCGTAGCCAGGTTTCAGTTTTGGAAGGGAAGGGGTTTATGAAATAAAATTACAAAAATATGCTTTAAATGAGACAATCTTATACATTCAATAAAAGAAAAATGTATTTCAGGTAGCACGCGCTGTCTCATCCACTTACCTGCCATCATCTACCCCAAAGTTTTGATCAAGTATAATATTATGAAATTAATTGTCTGTTTTTCTTTTTAAATATATCCACTACTTCGTCGGCATCAATTTCAGTCTCTTAGTGAGTGTTCATAAGGGCCAAACCGTTCAGTCTGTTTTCACTCCTTGTGTTTCGCAAATAGTTTTTCAGTCTCCATAGGCTTGAAAAAGACCTTTTTGGGGTAACAGTGGAAACAGGTATGGTAGTCAAAATTTGTAGCAATCTGTAGACATTTGGTTATAGTTTTTAATTGCACTTATCTAGGCATTCCAAAGCAGATTTTCGAGTAGTGCATTATGTAAAGGGGCTTGTCATAACACACCAGATAGTACTGATATCACTTTACGGTGTTTAATGAACCTTTCAGTCAATTGCTGTATTGTAACATGTGATTCATTTAAATGTACTTTTTTGGTGTGGCTGTAATTGCTTATGGCGCATGCGTCATGACAACTAATTTAACATTTTCTGTTAGACATTTCAACATGGAAATACTTAGTCCAGTACAGCGTCTACAAATAATTCAGCTGTACTTCGAAAATCAACGTTCTGCCAGAAGTGTGTTTCGTGCACTTAGAGCAACTTATGGTGTACATAATCGGCCCTCCGAACGCACAATTCGCCGTACGGTCGAAAAATTTGAAACCCAATTTTCATTATTGGATAATACCCGACCAAATAGACCACATCCAGCACGCATTGAAGAAAATATAGCTGCGGTAGCTGAGAGTATACGTGAGGACCGTGAAGAATCGATTCGGCGCCGTTCTCAACAGCTTGTCTTGTCATATTCAACGTATTTTACGTAAGAATCTTAATTTGAAACCATACAAAATTCAACTCCTCCAAGAATTGAAGCCGGCCGACCTTCCAAAGCATCGTCGTTTCAGCCTTTGGGCTTGAAGAAGATCCGATGTCTTCGAGCAAAATTTTGTTTAGCGATGAGGCCCATTTTTGGCTTAACGGCTACGTTAATAAACAAAACTGTCGTATTTGGGGTGGTGAAGAACAACCCGAAGTGGTTCAAGAGCTGCCATTACATCCAGCGAAAACAACGGTTTGGTGTGGTTTATGGGTCGGTGGAATCATCGGTCCCTATTTTTTTTAAAATGAGGCCGGTCAGAACGTAACTGTGAATGGTGCTCGTTACCGCGCCATGATAACGGATTATTTGCTGCCTGAAATTGAAGCCCGTAATCTCGATGACATTTGGTTCCAACAAGACGGCGCCACTTGCCACACAGCCCGTGCAACCATGGCTTTATTGCGAGAACATTTGGATGAACACTTAATTTCACGATTTGGACCAGAGAATCTGCCAGCTAGATCATGTGATATCACACCTCTAAACTTTTTCCTTTGGGGCTACGTTAAGTCCAAAGTCTACATTGATAAGCCGAATACGATTGAGGAATCAGAAGCCAACATTACGCAGGTCATTCGCCAAATTCTAGTCGAAATGCTCCAACGTGTCATCGAAAATTGGAACTTCAGAATGGACCATCTCAACCGCAGTCAGGGCCAACATTTGAAAGAAATAATATTTAAAAAATAAATATCAAAATGGTTCTTTTCTTTAATAAAGAGGGATGGGATGAATAAACTTATTTTGAAATAAGTGCATGTATCCGGTGCAGAAATGTTAGTCCGGTTCAACTGCCCGACGATGCGCGGCATCCCCATTGTACCATCATTTTCTTCTGGCAAAGCCTTTGCTTCTTCATAGAGATGGGGATACTCGGCGTCAGTTTTATTCCTCAAAAGTTGCAAATCATTAATAACGCCGTCCACGTGGCTGAATGTTGTGATAAGGTCAGTGCTGATTGCTTGCAGTTGTTTAGATGGCGACAATGTATATATAGCTCATCACTTTTTGAAGAGTCACCAAACACAACACAAAACTTGAAAATCGTAGTGTAATAATCATTTGGACTGCTTTTTGCTGTTGTTTCTTTATTATGGTTAGACTGTCGGTGTCGGATAATGGCGACGGGCGCCCCTCAATTTAAATATAGTAACGCTGGCTGGCTGGCTGGAGAGACGAAGAGTAAAGATGGCTTTACTCTTCGTCTCTCCTCTTTCAAAAATGGGTAACGTAGTATCTCGAACTACTCATACTTATCTCCAGCGGAGTAGCTCAAATAGACCTTTAATTACAGTTTTAAATAGTTAAATAGGAATACTATTTTTAGAACTTTTCGGGGGGGGTTGACCCAAAAAACCCCCCTGGCTACGCCCATTCTAAATAATGTAATGTCATAAAAAACCTACACAGTGTCATAAAAACCTACATAATGTCAAAAAAACCGACATAATGTTAAAAAAACGACATTATGTCACTTTTCAAGTTACGTAATAGCCCTGCGGACCTTAGACTTAAAAAAATGTGTTTTGATGGCTCTGCTGAACCACAGCGTTGCCAGCTGGACCATACAGAATTTCCCCAGAACAAGCACAAAAATCCCTCAACTGTAAAAAGCAATCCCCCAAATCACAGTTAATTGATGGAGAGAAGTAGATTTGATTCAAAATGCGGGTAATCTTTCTTTCCGCAAAACGTGTGATTTCCTCCAGAATATTATATCCTCAAAAAACTTCCCAAGTAAAAATTCCCCAGCATGGAAAACCACTCACAGCACCACTAGTAGTCCAGTCGTCAAACTTCGGGGCGGTTTTTACATCACGAATAGGTAGGTCGCAGTTTCTCCTGGTAAATGGGCTCCATGGATACTACAATCACACAACTGTCACGGCTCACGTGACGCCTATTCAATGTCACAGATAGCTTCGGTGATGACAGGTAACAAGAGCGTCTGCCTACGCTAAAAATTGGTAGCCCCATTAAATTGTCTTGCGTTATCGATATAGCATGGTCTACTCCACATCATGTGATTCCTTAGAAGAGCAAAACATTTCATACCTTGCTTATTAAACACTTTGCCACGACCAAATGTACTTACTCAACATCTATCCCAATTTCAGTGTAATTTAGTGGGAGCAATAAAAGTTGGCACATCTATCTTAAAGTCCGTCATGCCTCTTACCGCTATTATAGCGAAGAGTCATATCACGAAAGTTAAAGTTTTCATACTTTATAGCTTAGATTCCTTTTTTGTTGCCGAATCCTCTCTACACACTGAAGTGGCTATATGCAACGTCGACGAAAAGATATATCACCTTTTAACTTTTAACGGCCTTGCGCTTAATGCCTTCACTCTGTTTGCGTGTCACTCAAGTGTACTCTAATATTGCGTGCAGTTAGAGAAAATGTCATGCAGATTAGTTCCACACTTTCGAAAGGGCATCTAGAACAATTTTACATGTAGTGTCATTTCACTTATACATATGGCCGCGAGATATGAAGCTGAAGAGAAGAAGACTAGTAGCGACTCCATCTCTGTCCAGAGAACAATTTGATAAAGCTTGGTGCTTCTAAAATAAAGTACTGTAGCTTGACCAACAAGAAACGTCCTGCCGTGCATCTGGTTTCCATAGATAGCCGAGTTCTACTTCAAGGGCATTAGATTCAGCTGGTCGGAGTCAAGCGCAGGTATTACGTACCATAGATTAACCCTCTTCTACTGCTATGTCAATGGACCTTCTCTTTCTCTTTCAGATGATGTGGCCACACGCTGAGCCTGCCAGATGGACCTGTGAAGTTTGTGTCTCCTATCTTCTCTGTCGTACATTTGTGCATGCGGAACTGGCCGGTACGACTGCTTCTTTGTTTCCAAGGTGTCGCGATTGTGGAACAACCTGCCTGAGGAGGCTTTCCCCAGTTCTGCTAACCTGGGACTGTCCTAAAATCGGATTAACAAGATGTCCTTAAGATTCCTACAGAAACTGCGGTATCTGCGTGTTTCGGTGTCTGTCTACGCGGATGAATCAGTATAAAGAAGTGTATTTTACTTCGAAAATATGCCAAAGTCAGCGGAGTTTGCAACTGCGAATTCTTAAAAGCTTGAACCAATACTTATGAAAATCATGGTGACACTAGCACAAAGTTGTAGTGGAATGATCTAAACCAGGGATGGCGAACCAAAGGCACGCGTGCCATTGATGGCACGCAACACAATATTTTGGGCACGTCACCAGTCACTAAATCATGTTGCATTAAGAGAAAAAGTGTAAACTAGGTAGGTGTTTATTTTATGACGAGCGAACGCAAGCAGGTAGAGGTTTTTTAAAACGTCGTGAGCCGTGACCATTACACTATGTGTATGCGCAGAAGACAAAAGTTAGAGCAGTGGGAAAAATATTATCCTAATCACAAATATCGGCTTTTCCAAGGCACCAAGAATGGCAGAGAGAACTATCGGTACTCACTGACGTGCGACTGTAGATTATGATTTTGTTAAAAGTATACGAACGACTAAGATATACACGAGATACCAGACAAAGAAAGAGTTACTGAAGAAATTATTTCTTTGACTGATTATTTAATCAAGGAATTTTCAGCGAGATTTACGCAGTTCAAGGAATTATCGGTAATAATCAAGTTTATTATGTACCCTGACGTGATGTCATTTAATAAATTGAACTTGTCCGAATTCGATTGAAGAAGAATTCGAAATACAGCTGATTGATTTCCAGTCCAGTTCAATATGGATTCAAAAAGTTATTGAAACAAGGATAAAGTTAGAACAAATAGAAACCGGAAGATTGACAAGTGATATAAGTGAAAATGCTAAGAACAAAATTTTGGAAACGTGCGATGCATTACCGGACACATTTAACTGTTTTAAGAAGCTGGCTCATGCTATATTAACGATACTTTCGTCTTCATATGCTTGCGAGTCATTATTTTCAGAAATGAATAATATTAAAGACTCGGTTAGAAACCATTTAACAGACGAATGCAGTTCAGCATGCATACTGCTAAAAGTAACATCTTACAACTCTGATATAAATTATTTATCATCTAATCTGCAACAACAGAAGTCACACCAATTTTACTTTAACTGAAATTGCGAATTTAATTGAAACATTGCAAAATGCACCCTTTTTGTAGCAAATAGAGAATTGATAATATTTATTATTATTATTATTATTATTATTATTTTCCCAGAAATTATAAATTTAATTGAAACATTGCAAAATGTACCTTTTTTGTAGCAAATAAAGTGTTGATAATATTTATTATTATTACTTTCCCAATTTTCCTAAGTGAAAATTATTAGGTCTATGACCTCATTAAACATTTCTTTAAAAAAATGGCACGTTGATGCATAAAGATTCGCCTACCCTGATCTAAACTTACCTTACACGTGACCTCGATGCAGCGTGCTATTGAGGCAGAGAAAAAAGATCCGGCTTATATTGTGCTGTTAAGTTACACGTGTTATTGGGTCTTCCTCAAGTTACAACCAATCTGCATTTAAAATGAAACTTGCATATTTCCACCATTATCTTGGTTATTGTAAAGACATACCCAAGAGAATATAAACCAACCCGCAAGTCAGAAAACGGGCACGTATCTTTTTTAGTTACAGCAATTACTTGCTGTAGTTATTTTACTATTATTTTATTTCTTATGCAACTGTGATTGCGAAAAAGAGATATGTTTCTTGGATGCTGTTTGAAAACCATTTCACTCATTTCCGTCAGTCTGTCTAGCGGTCTATCAACAAATATCTGGCACTTCTATAAGATGAAAAGAACGACTCAAAGTTTGTCGAAATTTTCACACAAGGTTGCCAAGGACGAAAAATCTTCGTAGCTTTTGGAAATCGGCCCAGTGGCGGTGGCACTACTGACAAAAAGAAACGAAAAAAAATCACTCATATTCTGTTTTTTGACGTTTTAGAGGATCCGGCATGGGTAACATGTAAAAAACCTATAAAACGTAAAAAAAACCTATAAGATGTTATCTTGCAAACTAGGTAGTTTTTAGGGCGCAAACAGTCATTCCACGTTTGCTCACTAGGATCGTTGTAAACGTCCATCTAAGGAGGAATCACTCAACTAAACTAACGAATTACTGGTTGCATATGTTTTGTGAGGCCAATTGGTCATTGTCTGTAGTTTTTATCTCTGCGAAGAAAATTGGTTGAATAGCAAGACCGCATCTGGATGATTATGTGTATTGATCTGAATGTGTATAAAATCAGTGATATTTGCTGTGTGAGAAAATCATTACTGAATATGCTGCCAATGAAGTATATCTATTGGCTCCGCCCGACGGGCTATTTTTATGTTATGCTTTCTGAAGAGAGGTTATGTTCAAAGTTATCAATTACGAAAAACTGAGGAGAATTGTTAGCATAATATGGAGTCACACTCCATCTGTGTGTGGCCCTTTTCAAGGAATTTTTGTTGTATGTTTATCTTATTATGCACAGCATAATTAAGTAATGCATTCGCCATGACATTGTTCCGATTCTGGTATGTACACCCATCGGAATAAATTATGACTGGAAGACGTTTTGTTAAACAATGTCTTTCCAAGTAATCTATTACACATGATACAAAGGCAGAAGCAGACAAATCACAGTCAGATTCAGTGAACCAGTAACATGTAGCATTGCGACTAGTAACGTCATAGATCGTGAAATTGTGACAGCACAATTTAGTTTTGAAAAATACCATACTAGATTGTACAATGGGACAAACTTTCACAGCTTGAAGATCCATAGTCAGTACAATACATTTCCCTTCCTCTGCTAATTTCTTATCTGTTTCTTTTTCTAATCTTGCTCGGTCTTTCTTTTTTATATGTTCAGTGTATTTTTCATTGCTGATGTTTCCAACCCTATAACTCACACAAACGTCACATTGGTCCTTCTTCGGTTGGTACAATGACAGATTACTATCATTGAACTGGTTATAAAATGTTTTGTTTGAAAGACATTTCCTATCTTCCTTTTGGCACATTTCGTTGTATAAGTCATAGACTTGTTTCAGTGACCTGAACACAGGTTCAAGGTAGAGTTTTGTTGAGTTTGCTCTATTATAATGGGAAGGCAATTTCGGCAACTTCTTGAGGAATCCCTTGAGAAAATTTATATCTTCTGCAAACGGAGATTTTTTCATACGTTTGGAATTCTCTGCCTCCTTATGAGGAAGCATTCCATGTTCGCCTTTTTTTGTCCAGCTTTGGACAGTGAAAGGACGTAGATCAAGAGCGTTCAGAAACATCTTTCTACATACTTGATATTTGGTGTTATTTAGGGTCAGTGTATAGACCAAACTTTCTTCTCTTCGAGACTCAGAGACTGTTTTTCGTTTTGTGTTTACTCTTGTAACGTGAGCAACCACATACATCTTCCTTTGGTCCCAATTCAGGTCAGACCAGAACTTGGTGAATATAGACATTCTGTCAATACTGGTAAATTTATCACACATCCTCTTCTTGGATTTCAGACAAAGGGAAGATGAACAACCTGGTTTCAGAGATCTGGCCTCTCGTATTTTATTTTGCTTCATTGTTTGATTTCTTGGTTTAGTGTATCCTAAATATTGTTTCCCTTCCATACGAAGCTTTTGATTTTTTATCTTCTTCCATTCGTTTTGGTCAGATTTGTGTTTTCGTTTTCGTCCTTCGTTCATATCTCCATGTTCTGCATCGTTCGAAGACATATTTCCTAGGGCTAGTTCATTATCACTATGAACAAGACCTGGATTGTCACTATCATTGTCTGTACTAGGAATATAGTCAGAATCAGAATTTTCTGGAATATTATCAACTGATTGCTCAATGCTGTTTATACTGCACAGGTTTTCTAAGCTCTTAGCTTTAGATTCACCACTTGGACCATCACGATTTGCCGCTTCGTTCTCCGCTCGGACATTGTCATTTAAAGAAGAGTCTTCCTCGCAATCCATGATAGAAAGGTGTCCGTCCTCTTTAACAATGAATATCAAAGGATCCTCATTATTGTTCTTCTGGATTGACTGATCACAGTTTGCAATGATACTTTCTATTTGTATGTTGGTAGACATATTGGACAAAGATAACGAGGTGTTTAGAAGATCTCCAGCATCAAAACTTAATTGCGGTATGTTAATACTTTCTTGACCAGTATTTTGGAATTGCTTGTTTGCAGGAATATCAGATGAAAGCATCGAAATGGAAGTGTCCTGGCTCTCAAAACTAGCAGCTTGATTTGAAATACTTCCTAACACCATTTCGTTGTCAATCGCACTTATTCGGGTGAGCTTGAAGACTTGTTCGTTTACTGTGCTTGTCCAATTGTTCTGATGTTCATCGCTAGCTGAGCTAGAAACAGCACCTTCTCTCTCCACCATTGCCATGATTTTTGCTGTTCTAGTAGCCATTCTGAAACAGCACATTATTATTAATGTAACTCCTAACACTATTCTGTGGTTTTCATGTCGATAGTTCTCCTTTTGCCAGGCTATATTTAAACCACATGTTTTGTAGAAAACCTATATTTCATGTAGACCTTTCGTTTACCACTGTGGACTTATATAGTACATGACACATAATTTATATATCTGTTCACACAAAATTAAGGTTTCCTACACCACATGTGGTTTAAATATGATCCTGTACATGAAGGTCTCAGAAAAATATGGTGCTAGCTGACTGATCAATGAATGGCATCACATGTACTTACAAAAGAAAGCTTCAAAGTCTTAGTGAAATTTATTTTCGAAATACAAACATGGGATACTAATTGCTGGACATGTAAAGCATGGCGAAGCAATAGAGAACCGCAATAAGGATTATGAAGTATAGGTCAGTACAATACAGACTAAAGCAATAAACAACGAGCGATGCTTTCGCCATTTTTTGTAGAATTAAAGCAAATGGCAACCACGCAGTACTGTGATGAGGTCAACGGTCTTATAGAAATGCTAAAGGACCAATCGAAACTGATAAATAATTTTAGTTAGGTGAACTTCCTTTTTTTTCGAAAACTGCTGGGAATATCACGAAATTAACGTCTCAACAACTGTAGATCCACTGTAGCACAGTGTTTTGCAAAATATTTGAATTATCATTATCATCCTCACCATAATAAAAAGCTCAAATGGAGAAAGTTATCGTAAGTACAGCTACAGAGCTATGGAAATAGCTCCTAACTACAACAGAAACAATCGCCAAGTAGAACGGAAATACCGTCTATCTTCATATCTCCCTAAATATGATCGAATCGTGGTTAAAACGTTGAAGTGGACATTATGTCCATACACAAATATACACAGTGATATTCAACTCGTACTTACCTCTGGAAAGGATCCAAAATATTTGCAATGATACGCGATATTACAGCTTTAATCCTCCTTCGAAGTAACACGTGCGCTTGACCATAACGAACTGTTGAATAGGAGGTATTTCTTACTCGCTACGCAGGTGCGACAGTTACGAGATATTTGAATTGAAAAATGGCGCGAAAATATATATATTACTACGATAGGGGGAATTTCTGTTCGATAGATCTTGGAAAGACGAACCACGCGGTGTGAAGATGTTATTTTGTATAAAATTGCTAGATAGGAGGTATTGGTAGTAAACAGTCGATATGTATATGGCTTTTAATTTGACAGTGTACAATGAATATAATTATTTCTTATCTCTCTCATTTTTGAAATTCAGCAAATTTGTATATGTAATTTCCAGAATAGACGAGAAAAAGTGGAGGCGCAACTAGCTTTGAATCTCAATTAAGTGTATTTGAGACAATAATCCAATGTATTGATCATCAACAGATACAACTTACAGCTTAGACCTCCAGTAATGCCATCACAGAAGCAGATTTTATATCACATCAGAGCCAAAGACTGATAACAAGCCTGATGACGTTTAGGCAACACGTACAACTAAGTGCTAAGTTAATATGTTGTAGAAAAACTTACATAATGTCGAAAAAACAGCATAATATAAAAAAAAATCGTACCGGACTGGTAGCACGTATCTTGAAAAGTGACATTACGCCGATTTGTTTTTTGACATTATGTTGGTTTTTTGACATGTGGGTTATTCTACATGATGTTAACTTAGCACTAAGTTGTACGTGTTGCCTAAACGTTATTAGGCTTGTTATTAATCTTTGGCTTTGATGTGATGTAAAAATCTGCTTCTGAGATGGCATTACTGGTCGTCTAAGCCGTAAGTTGTATGTGTTGATGATAATTACATTGGGTTCTTGTCTCAAATACACTTAATTGAGATTCAAAGCTAGAAATTAGCTGCGTGTCCACGTTTTCTTATCCATTCTGGAAATTACATACTTATACAAATTTGCTGAATTTCAAAAATGCGAGGGATGAGAAATAGTTATCATCACTGTACACTGTCGAATTACAAGCCATATACATGTTATATGCACTCAAAACAATGGACTTACTATTCCATACAATGTTGTACCAGACGCTAGCTCAGCAACAGATAACGACTTCTCGCTAACACGTTGTTTACGCTTTATTTTCTAGAACTGCTTTGTAAGCACACCAATAGTATAAATAGGCCTTGCGCCCATTTCATGTCGTTCATTACCCGGCTAGGCACCGTAACAGTCACTTATGTAAACTTTATGTTCATTACCCGGCTAGGCACCGTAACAGTCACTTATGTAAACTTTATGTTCAATACCCGGTTAGACTCCGTAAATGTCACATTTGTAAACCTTTGTATTTTATATGGACTGAAGCTTCAGTCCTCAAATAAAATTTTTTAAAAAAGTTATTTCTAAATCTAATGATTTAAGAAATTGGTGTCAGAGAAGTGGGATAGCTTCAACGCATTAGAACACGTGCATACTAACTAGTGTGGTGGATGCCTATCCTTTAAGCTGAAAAGGACCAACGAGCCTTAAGCAGAAAGAAACCCATTGAAGAAAGAAAACTACAAGTAAGAAACTACAAAGCAACAAGAAGAAAGAAAACAACAGGGGACACAGCGAGCAGCAGCCACCCAACTGCAGACAGACTACTGGAAACATCGCAAGAGATCCACTAGCCGCCTGGAGAACACGACTGCCTCCCGATGTACCCTTGGTAACGTACAATTTTAATCTAACTATTTTTTGCGATTTATCTCTGTGTGTATGATTTTTACAACCTTTTATTTGCATTTTTGCGCATCTACTCTATATATTGTCGATTTTCACGTATCTTTCCCCATTTTTACGTATTTTTCTATTTTACATTTATATCTTTTTGCATTTTCCCTTGACATTATTGAATCTTTTTGAAACAACTTTCCATTTAAAATGTCTACTAACGGTTCAGATAATTACCAACCAGCTGAAATTCCTGATAACGTTCATGCGAACATTGAACCTTATAGATTATCTGAAATATTTTCGATTGTACCTGAGTACGATGGAAACCCGATATTGCTATCGACCTTCATCAACGCGTGCCGAACGGCATATCAAATGGCCGTCGAGGAGCAACGGCTTCTCGTCGTTTTACATATTAAAAACAAACTTCGCGGACGTGCCGCCGAACTTGTGAACAGCCGAAACCCTTCCACGTGGGAAGACATACGGTCCCTGTTAGAAACCCACTTTGGAGATCTTAGAGATCTCACATCTTTAATCGCGGATCTTCAACACATGCGCCAACTCCCCAACGAATCACCCCTAACCTTTGCATCTAGACTGCAGACGCATGCAGCCAAAATGCATTCCGCCGTGAATAGGCAAAATCTAAATCGCGAGCAAAAATCTGCTCAAAGTTCCCTCATCGAAACGATGACATTAAATTGTCTATTAACAGGATTAGACTCAAAAATAGGACCTGTTGTGCGATCAGGACATCCCACGGATATCTTGACCGCAGTTTCGTATATCAAACGAGAGTTACAACTTTCATATTTGGAACGACAAAAATTCGCCAGAGCCCCAAACCCGAATGAAAATTCAGTTATTCGAAGACCAAACCCTAAAATTTGTAATTTTTGTAATCGTCCCGGTCACTTGGCAAATGAATGCCAACGGAGACAACAGCCTACAAGCTTTGCCCCAAGACAGTTTAATCAGCCCCAACCTCAAAATTACCCTAGGCCGAATCAACCTATGCAAGTTAGACCATCTACATCTAACTACCATCAAAATTCTAATCAATATCCTCCCAGACCATCTGTAATACGACCAAATGCGCCTAACTCGAGTGCGCCAAGACCCTCTGTAATTCAGAGCAATCCAAATTTTCAAAACCCTAATTTTCAAAGAAATTTTAGACAAAATTCTCCCAATCGAATTAATTGTGTCGCCCCTGATTCTTACGATTATTCCGACTACGGTGAACCAGACCTATACAACACGGACTGCGCTAATGAATATGACGATACCCAATACTCCGCCTACACACCTTCCCCATACGATGATTTTAGAGAACCCAGTAACGATTTTTGTTACGAATATAATCAAACCGCCGATACATTTGTTGACAACGCTTATTCGGACATACAACAATTCCAGGATTTTCGGACCAAGTGTTTGAAAGAGAAACCCCCTGCGGAACCCAACGACAGTACCGCGATAGTATGTGCGAACTTAGCGAATCTGTGTCGAGGACCCGAACGCGAAACCGTGTGCGAGCGTCAGCAACACATGCGATCAGACGTTCATATAAACCCTCCGTTTATAGTCCCGTCGACAATTCACCCAGTTAGCCCAGACAACTTATATTACATTAAAGATGCTACTGGAAAATTCCAAATTCTCATTGACAGTGGTGCAGGTTGCTCCATTTTCAAACGTAACACTTGTCAAAATTATACTAATCGTGTCGCAGAAAATATCTCTATCCGAGGTATTACTGACGAAAAAATTAGTATTACTGAAGCAGTCTTAGTCCCATTTGCTCCCAATGATTATCACAAAATTTATGTCCATGATCTAGATATATCATTCGATGGCCTTCTTGGGTCAGATTTTCTTGAACATTATGATTGTATTATTGATTTGAAAAATCGTCAATTGATTACAAATTTCAAAACAGTCCCTCTTTTCAAAGTAGGTGACGAAAATAATTCCAAAGCTTCTCAATTTAAAGAAAAGTTCCAAGCTTCGCAATTTAAAGAAAATTCTCAAGTTCAAAATGTTATTTCCATTCCTCCCAGAGTTGAACAAGTTGTCAAGCTCAAATCCGAGCTTAGAAATACTGAAGCCATTCTTCTGGCATGCGAGGTAGAAAAAGTCCGTCTACCCAGT